TGTTTTGACCAGCAAAAATGACTTTAGTTTTTGTACTTCTGTTTGGAACAACAGCAAGAAGGAAAACCTAGGCCTCCTTTTTGGGCAGTGTTAAGTTCATCAGTGGCAGAGAGGAAGCAAAATTTACTCGAGTTCTATTATGTCTCCGTCTCAAAAAGAATGGTTGTCAGATCAGGAAGGCGATCACGCAGGCATAGGAGGGCTGAAGCCATGATTTCAGATCCCCTGGTCCACACGTATTGTGCCCCAGAATCCCAGGCAAATTGGGATGAGATTCAGGAGGCCGAGGTCAGAAATCTTGGAGGGAATGGGAGAGAGGTGTCGGCAGGCCGAAAGTAAAAAGTATCTTGACTCTCTAGACAAGTGAGCTTGGTGTCAACTCTCGGGGGAAATTCTGGACTAGATTATTCATCAAGTAAGCTGTGAACACTCCGTAAGGGAAACAGCCCTGAGAGTCAGCATGGGCTCATGAATGGTCAGACCTGCCAGGCCACCCTCACTGCCTTTTTAGAAATAAGTTACTTATTTCTACCTGGTAGACAAAGGAAGTACTGTAGAGCTTTTATAGGTGGGGTTTAGTAAGACATTTTGAGAATGTCCTCTGATATCATTGTTGGCAAGACAGAGAAAGGTCCACAGAGCATCCAGGAGGGGGAGGGGCTTGGTGATGGGATGGTTGGGTTGGTTCATAGTTGGTTGAGTGAGCATACCCAAGAGTACTGATGTCAGCCTGTCAGTCTGTTTGCCTGGCCCTGTCCTGTTCACTATTAGTCAAAGCCTGGGATGAGAACACGGGTGGCAGTTTATCAGCTTTGTCAGTGATGTGAAGTCAGAAGGGAAAGCTGATATGATGAATGCCAGAGTCAGCTTTCAGGAATATCCGAGCTGCCTAAAACACTCGCCAGACAGCGCGGAGTTCTGCTTTTAGCTCCCAAAACTCCACAGGACCTACAAGGTGGGGGCGAAGAGGTCTCAGTGCAGCCCGTGGGAGAAAGCCTCGGTGCAGCACAGGGGAGTGCAGTATGAGTTGGCAGTGCGATTAGGTCACAAGGAATAGACAATCTGATGACAGTTTTAATAGAAATAAAATATCCTGCACAAGAAAGCTCCTAGTCCCTCTGTGATCTGCACTGGTTAGGCCACATCATATATTTATTTCCACACACAGCCCTTCACTTCCGGACACGATGCTCTGGCTTTACTAGCTAGAGTGAATTCATAGGAGAGTGATGTGGATGGACAGAAGAGACCAGAACCTTGTCTTCAAAATATAATTGGAAATTGGAGCCACAAATTCTGAAAAAGAGAAACTGTTGATGGGCAGTGAGAGCGGCTTTAGGGATTTGAAAGGCTGTCATGAGGGTGAGAACTACAGGAAGGCCGATTGTGCTCTATAGAAGGAAGATGGCCTTGCCAGTGCCTCCCTCAGCAGGAGAGAGGCCTCAAGGGTTTAGATTGGCCTATAGTTGGGCCTTCCCAGGGCCCGCAGTGTCTGCTCAGGGAGCCAGGACCCCTTTCAAGCCCCATCAGAAGCCCCCTCTCTCAAGCTGAGGGCAAGGCCTTTGCTCAGAAAGGGGGGCTGACTTGGCCAGAAGCAGATGGAATATGGGCCCAGGGAAAAGGCAAAGAAGCCTGTATTAAGCTGTCAGCTTCTTGCAGGAGGAGCAGATAGACTTGTACAGGCAGCCGCTAACATCCCGGTAATGCATTCCAGATATATTTTGGGCACCTAATACATCCCAGACACTGTTAGGTGCTTAGCTTGGGTCATCTCATTTAATCCTATAAAGAAGGAATATTGTTATTTATTTCCATCAAGAGGATACGGAAGCTTAGGGAGAGGTTTAAGTCATTTGCCTGAACCAATGCTTTTAGCCAGTCTGCCTCCTGGGGCAGTCGGTCATCCTTCACCCCTGGCTCCATATCCCTAGCAGTCCAGTGGGTGTGGACCATGCCTCCCTGGGACCCCTTCTCCCTTCCAGCCCCCAACCTATGCCTTCCCCTCCACTAGGAACTCAGGGAGAAAACAGTCCAGCTGAAAAATTAGGCCATGCTGGCGAGCACACTACTTATTTTTTTATGACTAAGATTAAGCTGACAACCATGCAAAACATTGCAAACCTGTGTCGGCTGCAGATTTAATACCTCACCCAGCCCACACAAATAATTCATGCTTCTGAATCGATGTCCAGAAAAAACAAATCAGCAAAAAGCTGGGCTCCTGCATGTGTGTGTGGAGCAGCCGCATTTCCATTGAAGCAGCGTGCCGGAAATACCCGCGCTCCAGGACTGCACATCCAGCATTCTGCAGTTTTTTTTTCTCTTAAAAGATTAAAGTACGATTTCAAATGATTGAAGGTTGGTGGGAGGTGTAAATGTGGGCACTTGTCACATTAATTCTTCAGATGATTAAGTTCTTTTCCATTTCTTTAAAGCTATTTGCAGTTGGGTTTGATGTCCTCGTTCAGGGTGAGTGTGTTGTAGCAGTTACCAAGGTGACTTTAGCTGACTTTCAACAATTTATTTTTCCCTCCAGCTTGAGATGTCTCGAGTCCTGTGTGCTGTTGATTCTCCTCCCCCAGCCTCCCACCCCCACTCCCAGTTGCTATTCATCAGCATTTTCGTCTGTGCCAGAGAGGCGGGGGTCCTCCTCGCAGGCCCCGCAGGCTCAGGGCCCTGCCTGGCAGCCAGGCCTCGGCCTCTTTCGGGAGCAGGATGACATGTCAGTCAGTGGGCACCGTAGTCGTCAGAGATGGCACAGGGAAGCAATTGTAAGAGTCACGCCCTGGCTCTTCCACTTAAACTCACTCTGTGACCGTAGGCTTGTCACCTCACCTCTCTGAGCCTGTTTCCTCATCTGTAAAAGAAGGGTTAGCCTAGAATCTCCCTGGGGTGTTTGATGCAAGGACTCAGAAAATCTATGGGCTCCTAACTCTGGAGCAGAGGAGGGGCTCCGGGCAGGAGAGCTCTCCTGAGCCCCGCCCTTGTCTGGGCTTGGGGAGGAGGTGGTGTTTGGTGTTGCCCTCCTTCCTGGGGAGGGAGGCAGGAGGCCTCGCGGCCGGATATAAGGGAGAGCGTTGGTCAGAGGTCCTAGGCTCCCACACTGGCCTGCCGCAGACCAGCTCTGTGTCCTGGATCTATTTTGTAAAGGAAAGAGGGAGATTAAACAACCTGAGTTTCCTCCCAGTGCTGAAATTCTGTGACCCTCTGACCAGAGCATTTGTCTCCTCGGGTCTTGTGAAAGGGTTTGTCAAAGGAGAAGCGAGAGCAAAGGGCAGTTTCAGAATTGGCTTTGGGAAACCAAGGGGAGGGAGTGCTTGGTGAAAGAGCAGTCACATACATCCGGGGGTGGGTCCACCCAGCTCATGGGAGGTCCCCATTACCTCAGGGGCTTTTATTAGCCTATGTCACCCTCCAGCCTCTTGCCTGCTGACCTCATACCTCCCTCTGGGGAGGTCCTCTGCCTCACTGGCCACAGATCCCAGCACTCAGCCTTCCAGTGTGTGAGGAGGTTGGCCCTGCCCCTCACTGGCTCTCTGCCTGTCAGGCCCAGACATCCTGGGTGGCTTTGGCCACTTGAATTATAAATAACTAGAGCTTCTCACCCAGTATTTTGATGGACACTAGGGAATTGTTCTGAGATTCACTGCCCAAACCAGGTTCCGGCCTTTTGAATGGGATCAGTGGGTAACCCTCATTTCTGGCTGAGGCAGATTTGAGGCGTTTCAGTAGGGGCAGCTGAACTTGAAAAAGCAAATCTTAGATTGCAACGGGACCTCGTGGCTGAGCTGTGGGACAAGCTGTTGGTAGGAAACAGGACAGGAGGGAGTATGAGGCAGCAATGACAGCTCACTGTGGCCAGGGCCATACTCAGACTCTGGTACAGGGCTCTGCAGCCCGTCCAGGCTCACTTGTCTGCCTCCTGAGAGCCTGACTTCCACCCCCTCGCTGAGGCCTGCATCATTTCCTGCTTAGACGAAGGATGTGTATGTCACTGCAGCTCCTGGCCATTAGCAAAAGTATGTAAGCCTAGAGCCTTTCAGAGTCAGCTGGAAGGAAGCTCTTGGAGCCTGTCTCCTGGGTTTCTAGCAGCCACAGAGAACTCGGAGTCCGAGGCTCCAGGGTCAGAGAAAAAGGACCCCAGAAAAAGGTCAGAGAAAAAGGACTCCTGCTGCTGTCATAGGGAAAAACAAGTCACCGTGACATAAACATTTATACAGTGTGTTGGCCAAAGATGCGAGCTTCAGAGCCAGATCTATCTGCGACCATATCCCAGCTTCACACTTCCTGGCTGTGCAGCCTGGACAAGTTACTTACCCTCTCTGATCCTCAGTTCCTTATCTGTAAAGGAATAGAATAGTTATGCGCACCTCGTGGGGTGTTGTAAGGTTGCTTGGCAAGTTCTTTTTTTAATTAAAATTTTTTAATATTTTATCCATCACCATTTATCCCTTCTATGCCCTCTTCCACCTCCACCTGCCCCCCACCACCTACAATCACCACACTGTCGTCCATGTCCATGAGTTCTCATTCTTTTTGTTCCTTTTTGCTCAATCCCTCCACCAACCCCCCAACACCCCCTCCCCACCCAGAGCTGTCTGCCTGCTCTCTATCTATGAGTCTGTCTCTGTTTTGCTTGGTAGTTCTTTTGTTCATTAACTTCCACATGAGTGCAATCATACGGTACTAGTCTTTCTCTGACTGGCTTATTTCACTTAGCATAATGTTCTCCAGATCCATCCATGCTGTAATATTTTTTCCTTTTTTCAGGAGAGTAGTACTCCGTTGTATAAATCTACCACAGCTTTTTTTATCCACTCATCTACTGACGGAGACTTTGGCTGCTTCCAAATCTTGGCTGGGCAGGTTCTTATTGAGTGGTGGCTATTGTTATCATTACCATCAATGGCTGCCATTGTTGTTGTTCAGGATCCCAGCCTGGGAGACTCCCGTCTTGTTCCGTCCTGTGGTCAGAACTTATTCCTGTGCTTGCTTCACAGGAGCCGCAAAGACAGCCTGGAAAGCGACAGCTCCACAGCCATTATCCCCCATGAGCTGATCCGCACACGGCAACTTGAGAGTGTACATCTGAAATTCAACCAAGAGTCAGGAGCCCTCATTCCTCTCTGCCTAAGGTGAGAGCCCCACAGCACCCAAGTTGGCCTCCAGGAGCCACCGTGCCTGTGCTTGCCATCTCCCCCCACACCTCGCTGGAGTCGGGGGCCCAAGGAGGGAGGAGAACTAGTCAGGCAGCTCCATGGAAGCCTGTGGGGGAACCTGCGGACTCTGAACCGTCCAGTAGCCCCCACTATGCTGAAGATCTCTCCTTTGTCCGGAGAAGTGTCCCTCGGCCCTGTTCCCTTAGGTGGGGATTCAGTGGCATAGGGCATCCCAGATGCCCCTGCCCTTCCCCAAACCCAGAGTTAGGGGTGGCAGGGTCCCCATCGCCCTGGTGTAGTAGGGCAGGGCTCTGGTGGATTGGGCTCTGCTTTCTCCTGCTTGCTGCTTTTCCCATGTAAAACACTCAGTTCTTCAAACCCAGTGGCCAGTCCAGCAGACTCCTCGAGGGGCCAGGAAGCCCAGCTGTGTCCCTTCTGCTACTGTTCACAGTGCCAGAAACCCAGCCCTGTGTCCAGAGTTCAGCTCTCTGCTTGGGGATGCTGTACTGGGCTGAATCTGTTGCAGCTGGCTTCCTCCACAGCTCTCAGGGGTTCCACCCTATTTATTGCAGGAGAGGCTACAAGAATAACTCAAAACTCAGACAACAGTGACAAGGAAGAAAGGGCAGGGGAAGAAGGACCCCCAAAAGCTCCTGCTGCTATCATAGGGAAGAACAAGTCATTGTGACATAAACGTTTGTATAGTGTGTTGGCCAAAGATGCGAGCTTTAGAACCAGATCTGCACTGGTTTGGACCCTCCACACTGTCCCTGGAGCCTGGGGAAGGAACTTGGATGGTGACAGGCTTGGCCAGCCACCCTGGTTAGCAGGGCAAAGATAGCTAGTAGTCAGGATGAATGGCGGCTGGCAGGATCCCCCCCTCCCCACAGCTAGGACCCTAGGCATTTCCTCTCCAGCTCCCTCTCTGAGCCAGGCTCAGGGCCTTTCAATTATGAAAGGGTTAATCTGGGGCAGCCTGAGAAAGCAAAGAGCAGCTCTGCTTCCTTTGCTGAGTGGCATCTTTGCCCCACTGGTTGCTCCTGCCTGCCCTTCCCCCAGATGTATTTCCAGACTGGGGATTCACAGTGACTTCTTGTGCTCCCTCGGAGTGACCCCACTTGGCTTCAGCTTTTCTTTTCTTTCTTTCTTTTTTTAAATTAAAAATGGGCTTTTCCCCTTGTGGCTAGTCATTTAAATCTTATGGGAGGTGCACAAGCAGGTGGGAGATTCTGGGCACAGGGCTTGTGCTGTGAAGGCACTCCACCATCATCCAAGAGTGGGAAATTAGGAACTACTTCACCCCCATCCTCTAAACAAAGGGGCCATAACCCACCCACCCCACCTTAGCTCTGGGCATGACCCTGGGTGCACTGCTAACTGCCCTCTGGCCTCACCAGGACATGAAGGAGGCGGACTCGACTTCCCCTTCAGGCCCTTCGAATGCTGATCTAGTGTCTCTGCTAGCTTGGAGCACTTTGGAAGAACGCCAGGAGAGAAATCATGAGAGGCTTCTCTTGGAAGGTGTTGAAATGAACCTATTCCGTTACAGTCCCCGCTGGACTGGTGGGCAGTCAGGAGGGCATGTGCCAGGCATCCTGCCCCAGGGAGCATAGCCCCAGTCCCTGAGCCTTGGCCAGGCCTGCTGCTCACTGTCTTCATGTTCCCACCCCCAGGGGCAGGCTCCTGCATGGACGGCACTTTACATATAAAAGTATCACAGGTGACATGGCCATCACATTCGTCTCCACGGGAGTGGAAGGTGCCTTTGCCACTGAGGAGCACCCTTATGCAGCTCATGGACCCTGGTTACAAGTGAGAAGGCTCTTTTTCTTCTTCCCACCTCCTTTCCATGAGCTCTTCCAGCTCCCGTCTCCTCTCTCTCCTCCCTTGGCAGCTCCTGGTGGCTCCCTTGCTGAGGGCTGGTTATGAGAAGCCGTGTGGAGTGTGGCTGCTGCTGCCTAACCCGTCAGCTCCAGGAGCACTTCCTGGCCTCTCCCCTATCACTTGAGACATGAGTGATAACTCTCTAGGCTCCGGCCATTGGTAGTTCTGTTTGCCATGGAAATCCAGGTTTAAGGGATGTGCTCTGCACCCTGGGGAAACCAAGGGTGAAGTAGAATGGAAGGGCGTGTGAGGGCCACTCTCGAGTGCCTGTAGAAATCCCACCAGAATTCCTAGAAAATGGGCATGTGGACCTGGAGCTGGAATGGGCAGGCCTCGGCAGGCAGAGCCTCTCCCTCCCCTCATCTAATGGCTCTCCCATTCCTCCTGGTGGAGACCCAGCTTCTCTGCACAGAACCCTGCTGGCTTGTCCAGAACACTTTTTTCTCCTTTGCTCTTCTGGCTGGAGCACAGCTTCAGAGCCACTGCCAAACGGGGTGCTGGGGCTGACAGCTATAGGCCTCCTTCCAGACCCCACCTTGTTTCAGGCCTCATAGGTACTTGGCCTGGTCCAGGTGAAGTAAGGGAACAACATCCTTGCCTGTTGTTCGTTTGTTGGGCGTGCGGGAGGAGGGACACTCCACCTTACCTCTCTCAGGAGTATCAAGAAAGGGATTCTGACCCTAATCAGAAAGTGACCTGCCTTGTGTGTGGGTGAGGGTGGGAGATTACAGGAGAGGAGAGGAGAGTTGTGTGGGTTTTGTGGGTTTAACATGGTCTGGGGGCGGGTGTTCTGGGAAACATACACACTGTTGTGTGGGCATGCTTTTGTCTGCGTGCATGTGTTGCCTTGCAGCTCGATTTCTCCTCCTTTAGGCCAGCACTCTTCCCCCCCACCCCCTCCAATACTAACCCTTAATTAAAACAAACAGCAAACAAGGGACACCAACCACACTCCCCAGGCTCAGCCAAGGTAGGAATGGAGGCTGGTGCTTTAGGGATATTGTGCTCCATAAATTATCTTGCCTTTTTCCACTGTTGTTATTGCATTGTTTCATAACAAAATTACTTTGAACCATAAAGTTATAAATACATTTTAAAAGTCCCTCTTGGTAACATTAGATTTCTGTCCATGTGGTGTTGATAGTTACTGTAGCAAAAGCTCTGAAGTGTAACATTTGAAATTAGCTTAGTACATGTGGAAAGGGCCTCCACACCCCACCCCCAGCAGTGTCCCAGGCCCCAGGCTGCCTCTGCGGACAGCAGGTAGGAGCAGGCCTCTTGCCTGGGCAGAGCCAGTAAGAGGGGAAAGGTGGGGACCATGCAGGAGGCCCCAACCCCTGAGAGTTCACAGGACATCATTCCCAGTAGATGACCGAGTGCTGACAGGTCTCAGCAGCAATGTCCTCAGATAACATTAGCGTATATTGAAGGTTCAAGCACGGTTTCTTGGGAAAGTAGAGACTGGGGCCTCCCAGAACTCAACAAGAAATCCCCCCCACCCCGTTACATTTTATGTCCTCAATTCTGAACCTGTTTTTGGAGTCCCACCTTCCCCTCAGAACATCTTCTTACCCTGAGGAGGGGGTGGTCAGCATCTCCAATTCTCACAAGCGTGGGGACCTTGAGCTCCCACAGACTCAGCAGATGCCATGCTGCCCATCAGTTCCCCTAAAGTTCTGGACCCAACCCTAGTTCCCAAGCCTCCTATCCCCAGCTTTGGCATTCCCGGCCACCTCCGCTCCCCTCATCTCGCCTGCAGCCCCTCAGTGAGCTTGAGCACGAGGGCTCTGCTACTCCCATGCACATGGTCCCCTCCCATTCACTGTTGCCTGGGGAACCGGGCGCAGTGGGAACCAGCCGCTGGCTTCAGCATGTTTCAATAAAGTTGCTGTGCTGGGAGCTGCTTAATCAAAGGCCTGTGTTAGGGGCTCATTAGTGTGGTCCACCACAGGGGCCAACTCACAGGGGAGCTCCCAGGAAAGCTGGCTAGGGCCTCACTCCCCAGGCACGCACCCTCACTTACCAAGGGGTTTCTCAGGCCCTTTCCAGAAAGTCCTGGGAAACCTTCCGCCCTGCCCCCAGCTGGTCCTCAGCCATAGTACCAACACCCACAGCAGCCCTCCTCCCCATCCCAGCAGTCAGCATTTTCTGCATCTAACTGCCAGCCTGCTTCCTTTAGGGTCTTGCCACTGTGGTCACAGGCAGCTCCCTAGCTTGTGGGAACCTGGGCCTGTAATTACTTGTGGGCCTGAAGGTCTCCTTCTGAGGCTGGCTGTCTCCCTGGGAGTCTGCAGGACCTCCTAGAGGCCTGGGATGAGGCTTGTCACCAGCAAGGGCAAGAGACCCAGACTTTTGTTTTCTTGGCTGCTACTTGAACCTTCCTGTTGGTCCCAGCTGAATTGGGAGGGGCTGGATGACTTCTTGCATCAGCCTTCAACAGTCTTGGAAGCCTTCATTTCCAGCCTTGGCACCTTGTTCTGGCTACCAGCCCAGGCCTGTTATCTCTTGGGGGAAAGGCATGGCAAAGACACCCCACATGGGAGGAGAGTGACAAAGGAGAGGCTGAGAGAAAAAGGCAGAAAGTGAGGGAATCTGGGCCTGCACCTGTTCTCCATGCTGCTTTTCTCCCTGTCTCTCCAGCCCCAGGAAAGTCAGGCCCCAGCAACACAGAAAGGCAGGGTCATCGGCGACCCCAGGGTGAGCACAGTGGACACGCCCTGCTTCCTGGAGGAGCTGGATGGGCAGAATCCTGCTCCAGTTCCTGGGCTCCTCAATTTCCAGAGGTGGACACCTTGACTCCCTCTGCCCTACCATCTGCTGTTTTCACCCTCCTCGAGATGGTAGAGCCTGTCAGCTAACTCTGGAGCTGTGCAGGCAGGTCTTTAGACCCCGGGGGAGGCCTGCCAGCATTCTCTCCTGCCTGCCTTCCCCCAACATTCTTGGTCTCGGTGGCTTGAACAAGCCCTCTCCCTTGAGTCTATCATCACCATGCTGTTAGTGCTGTGAGTGGGAGCCCAGCCCAGAGCTAAGTCATTCATCCGTCCCCAGCCAGGACTGATCTGAAGGGGAGGAAGTCGGCCCCAGAGGTTAGGTAGGGGTCACATCACCAAATATGAGAATATTTTTTTAAGCCCTGCAATGCTTTCTCAGCTGTGTGGTGTCTGACAGCTCACCCAGGTGGTGCTCCCATTCCCAGCCATTCTCTCCCAGCCCTGATGGGAGGTCCCAGGCTTGGGAGAAGACACGCTGCAGCTGTTCTGAGTGGCTCCACCCTGCAGGCCAGGTTTAGGGTCTCACTGCTGGGCTCTCCTCCTCTGACTCATCACTGTCCTCAGGAAAAGCCCTGCCCTCTCCCCTCCCTACCCACCCACTTGGATGTGTGTGAAAGACACATGGTAATCCCTGGCCCAGGCCCTGGGCAGCTCTTCAGTGGCTCTACGGTTTCTCCTTCCACTGGTGAGCCTGGCCACAGCTGTTCTCCCCGGAAGCCTTTGCTTGGGCTGTCATGGTGACCTCATTGTCCAGGGTACATCCATTAGGGTTTAGATCCTGGCACTGTGCTGGGGAAGTATACCACCCTCCCTTTCAGGAGGTGACGTGATGGCCCACGGTGCCCTCACCAGCCAACCAACAGCCAGAGCAGGAGGAGTCTGAGCCTCCTCCTCTCCACCAGAGCCAGCTTCTCGCCACCCACTGAGAATAGGAAATGAGTGCGGCCTGCCCCTGCCACCACTGCAACCCCACCTGCCACACACGCTGCCCCAGAGCCTGGAGTCTCTAGGCTGGTTTCTGGCCTGTGTCTGTATGTTGGAGTGAGGGGGACACAGACTGGACCCCTTCCTCATCCCTGCCTCCTCCACCGCCATCATGGGTGCCAGAGCAGCTCCTTGGCAGGCCCTACCCTGTAAACAACACGTTTCCTTCCCTCAGAGAAGGAAGAGAGAGAAGAAGAAATCCAAACTTGTTGGAAAGCAAGAACAACGTGTCTACGAAATGCAAACAAGGCCCCGGACAGAGTGTGGATTGTCATGCCAGGGGAAGGAGTGGGCATTGTCAGCACGATTTGCAGACTCAGAAATATCATTGACCACAGACATTTGAATCCGATCTGCAGCATCTGGGCTTCTGCCTGTAGCATAGCCAGACCTGCCCAGGGCAGGCACTGACAAACAATCACTTTTTGAGCTTCTTTTGGAACTTGCTGGGGCCTGGGAAATTGGGCAGCTGTTCACAATCCTCCCTCATCACCGACCAGCCAGGCTGTCCCAAGGTACCTGGTGTGAGTAACTTAGACTAAGTTGTTGGCCTAGATTCCAAGCCCCCTCCCAAAGGTGGGGTGTGATGAGGGCAAGGAGCTGCAGCCACCAACTCACCCTATTGGTTAAGCCTGTGCCCAAACTCTGTCCCCCTGTGAACTTAGTATTTCTGGCACTCCCCCGCCATGATTTCCTGGAGCACCTTTTAAAACCCACATGCCGCCCTAACCGGTTTGGCTCAGTGGATAGAGCGTCGGCCTGCGGACTGAAAGGTGCCAGGTTCAATTCCGGTCAAGGGCATGTACCTTGGTTGCAAGTACATCTCCAGGAGGAGGTGTGTAGGAGGCAGCTAATCCATGTTTCTAACTCTCTATCCCTCTCCCTTCCTCTGTAAAAAATTAATAAAATATATTTTAAAAAAAATAATAAAACGCACATGCCTTGGCCTTGCCCAGAATATTCTGATTCCGGAGGTCTAGATGGGGCCTAGTCTTCATATTTTCAAAAACTTCCCAAGGGAGGTTGGTTGGGGGGCTTTCCCCTCTCAGTAGAGTGTCTCTTCCCTCCAAGGGCTGTTTGTGCACAAATACAAACATTTTATGCCCAGCATTTCATGAGTGCAGACATCAGTGAGTGCTATTACAATTTCATCCTCATCCTCATCATCATTATTTGTACTGCTGTTTTCTGGACCAGAGTAACCGTTGCCTTACGTATGCATTCTCCAGCTGGCCTGGACACTTTCCCTGCTGTCCCACTTGGAAACCATCTTTGGGCATGAGTTTGCCTTCCTTTCCAATTGGGCATCCTAGGCTGTTGGTTTTTTAAAATGTTTTTATTGATTTTTACAAAGAGGGAGAGGTATAGAGAGATAGGATCATGGATTGGTTGCATCCTGCAGGCCCCCCCACCAGGGATCAAGCCCTCAACCCAGGCATGTGCCCTGACCAGAAATTGAACCAGTGACCTCTTGGTTCATAGGTCGACACTCAACCACCGAGCCACCCTAGCTGGACATGTCCAACCTGGTTTTTGAGCAGGTATGTCTATGCCCCTCAGGGTACCAGCCCTTTTTAAGCTGAGCATCTAGCCAGGTGTTACGTGGCTAGTTGGGGTTGGGATTGTTGATTTTTCAGGCCATTAGTCAAAGTCATCTTCATCTCCCCAATCAGAGGAGAGAGCAGTGTTGGCATTGATTATATAAGGTTTCTAGAATCGGGCTACCTTCCCCAGATAGAAGAAGAGCCTCTACTACCAAAAGGTCAGATTACTGTGTCGTCGTCCCCCCCTTTTTTTTAATTGATTTTAGAGAGAGAGGAAGTGAGAGAGAGACATCAATCTGTTATCCCATTTATTTATGCATTCATTGGTTGCTTCTTGTACCAAACTCACAACCTTGGCGTATCAGGACGATGCTCTAACCACCTGATCTACCGGCTAGGGCCAGATTGCTCTTCTTTTATGTTAATCCTCACCCATGGGTTTGTGTTTTTTTTTAACAGAGAGAGTAGAAGGGAAAGGGGGGGGGGGGATATCAATGTGAGAGAGACACATCGATTGGTTGCTTCCCGCATGTGTCCCGACCAGGCCAGGATCAAATTTGCAACCCAAGTACATGCCCTTGACTGGGTATTGAGCCTGCCGCTCTTTGGTATGCTGGCTGATGCTGTAACCACTGGGCAGCACTGGCCAGAGCAGGCCACTGTTCCTTTAAAGTCCAGGAGACTCTTGACCTGCTTGTCTACAAAATGGAGATGATAGTTTCCTCCTTTGCAGGACTGCCATAAAGATTCAATGAAACAATACAGGTTAAGCACTAAGCCCAGTGCCTGGCACACAGAGGAGGCGCTGCTCCTGCTATTGGTGGTGTTGTCATTGCCACTGTCATTGTCATCACCGTTCCTGTTATTATTTGTGGCAGAGCCAGGCAACTCCATGGGGACCCAATGAGCTTCAAGAAGCCCAAGCCCCAGAATTGCACAGGCTTTTCCCACAGTTGTATCACAACAGGGAGTCTGTTACCAGTGAGAGTGCTCCATCATAGCTGTCTATCTCCAGTGTCCTGTTGATAAGATCTGTTAACATTCTCAGCTCCAGGTCTGAAATATACAAAGAACGGGGTCTTTGTTGAATTCAAGCGTCTAAGGTTTAACTCCCAAAGGAAATTAAATTAGGTGCCTGGAGCTATGACAGTCTGTCGTGTTCCTTTGCAGGGAATGTCACCCTTAATATCATGCAGATCTCATGTATAATTTTACCTCGTTTAGTTTCTTTAAAATAATTTGAAGTTTCCAGCAGGAACCAGCAAATCATCAAAAGTGAAAATTAGCCAGCAATTAGGGTTGGTCCCCTTTTTTGGTCCTGCCACCCCCTCTCCCAGCAGAGTACGGAATGAGCCCACAGACAGATGGTACCCTACACCCTCGGTAGTCGTTCTACTAAAAGCCGCCATAACCCACCCTCCCCACCACTAAGTCCAGGCCTTTGTCAGAGGAACCGGCTTAGGGCTGAACTTGGCGTTGGTGGCGTCATCTTTTTCATTATTGTAAAACAGCTCTTTGGAGTCGCACTGGGTGGCCACAGTCCCTGTGAGCCCTCCCCCACCTCCTCTCAGCCCCAGACCTACTTACCTCTGGCAGAAAAGTCTCTCCCTCCAAGTTATTTGTGGGCTAGAAATCAGCCCAGCCTGCCCCAGACTGGAGCCATTGTAATATAACTGGGTTTTAGGTATGCTTATGTTTGTACTAGCATTTGAAGAGATGGCAACAAGTCCCGGAAATGCCAAAAATATGAATGTGACTTTTGTACTACTCAGGCAGACTGGTGATAACTGGTAGAGTACCCTGGACTTGGCGGGGGAGGGGGGGAGGAGGGGCCCTGGGATAATAGGAGGAGGAGCAAGGAGCAAAACCCCTGTGGGAGGATCCGTGGGATTGGGAACTGGTCACTGTAGCCCCGTGAGAGGAAGTCAGCCAGTCCCACTGTGCGGAACTGGGAGGAAGAACGGGGCGGGCGGGAGGGGCACCTCAGCCCTCGGCTGGGCGTTTCCCTTTGCCTGTCTGAACCTTGTCTCTGTCCTCACTTGAGACCCGAGCCCCTCAAACAGAAACTTTAGTGAGGAGACCTGGGCCAGTGGTCGGAGCTGTTTTGTTCCTGACTGTGGGCTTACGGCCTGAAATGGAGGCGTCCTTTGGCTCCCTGTCGACAAGGGTGGGGGATGTCCAGGTGGGGAATGAACTGTCTTCATTCCTATGTCCCTGGGGCTCCACCCAGGGCTGGGCCTAGCAGAGGCGCCCAGGGAATGCTGTGGAATCATGTAGATTGTTGGGCAGATGAGTGGAAGAATGAGCAAATGCATAAACATCATGTGGGTAAGAGTTCAGGATTTGAAATGAAGCAGTACTTCAGGCACTAACTCACTTCAAAGTCCAGGAATGACTGCGATATGGTCTTGTCTCAGCCACTCACAAGCTGTGTGGTGTTGGGCAGATTACATAACCTCTCTGTGCCTCAGGTTCCTCATCTGTAAGGAGACAAGGGGATTAGACTGTGAGCATTGAGCAGGATGCCTGGGGTGGTGGCTGGTGTATTCACCCGGGGTCGTTTTCGCTCATTCCTTGCTCCTTTCTCTACCCCACCAACCTCCTCCCTCCGGAGTCCTCTGTCCTGTAAGGTCCTAGTGACCCTGCTGCTTTTTCTGCCGTTTCACTTCATATCCCAAGCTGGCTCTATTCTCAGTGTTGGGATTTCTGCTCTTATCAGAGTGTACAATTCCCAGGGGAAACCTGATGGGTATTTTCTCAGCTTCTTGATCCCCATCCTTCTCATAGAGGGTTTTCCCTCAGAGGAGCCCTTCACCTTGGTCTTTGCCCATTGTTTTTCTTCCTCTGGCCACACCAGGTCATTCAAAGTGGCAGCAGGGAGGGCCACAGCCTGGTGTGTGGAAGTGTCCGGTGCAGGAGGCCCCACGCACCAGCACAGGGAGGAGAGGGGTGGAGAAGCGGCCTGGGAAGAGGAAGGATCCTCAGGCTGGGCCTGGTGCTGCAGGCCTGGGGTGAGCTGGGAAAACGGCCCAGCGCCTGAGGAAGGCCGAGTGTCCTTGGACATCCCCATGGGTGTGACACTTCTTCAGAGGGTGAGGGTGGTGGTTGTGCCAGCTGAATAGTGGGGCCAGGCCGTCCTAGACATCAGCGTATAACGTGACAAGGCAGCAGACGGGAGCAGCAAAGTGGGGCAGCTGGGAGGCGAACTGGAAAAGAGGTTCCTCAAAGGAAGTTTTGAAGAACTTGGGCTCAATGGGCTGCAGGACGGGAGTTTGGGAGCTTCCGGCCTGAGAGAATGTGGATGCCACAGGTGGAAGTGGGAGTTGAGAGTCCCTTTGCCCATTTGTAAAACAAGGGATTGGTGCACAGCCTCCAAATTCTCCAGCACATTCTTGGATGTACCTTCCGGGGCATTTCCAGATTCCAAACCGGCTTGTATTCCAACCCCAAACAGATTCCTTTTGTCCTACCAAGTGAGGGCGAGGGGAACATGTGACCTGCTTGGGCAGGGATGTTGGCAGTCGCTCTTCTCTGCCTCTCGGCTTTGTCCCCCCTCTGCCGCCCTGAGACCTGCAGGAGGCCCCAGCTGCCCAAACCGGCATTTTCCCACCCATTTCCATAGCCCTTCTGGGACCAGCACCGCTGCCCCTCCAGATGCGCCCGCCTTCTTCCCAGTTGTCCTCTGACGCCCTTCCTTCTTTACCCTAGTTCCTCTGATACTGCAGGCAGGTGTGCGGGGTTGGGGGGGAGGCAGTCAGAATAGGCCTCAAGCACTTCCCTCTGTCCCTAGAACAGATCTCCATGGCCAGGAGAAGGTCCATAGCTTGACATTTGGCAAAAAGACCATCTATTGAAAACATAAAAGTCTTGTGTTTTCTTTCCAGATTCTATTGACGGAAGAGTTTGTAGAGAAAATGTTGGAGGACTTAGAAGATTTGACTTCTCCAGAGGAAGTAAGCCTGTTTGATTCTGACAGAGGGCTTAGGTCTCCAGGAGCGGGCATGCACGTCTGTCTCTCTCTTTCTCTCTCCCTCCATCCCTCCCTCCTCCTCACTCTCTCTCAGGTGTCCGGATAGGCTGGAAGAGAGACTCGAGATGTTAAACAGCTTTATTCCTCTCTGTCTTCCCACCACCCCAGCCCTCGTAGGGACACCCAGCAAACTGAATCGCCTGCTCCTGAGATCCTCACTGAAGGGCAGCCAGGGCCTTCAGGCTAGTGCGAGAGCTCCCCAGCCCTGCTGTTTCCTGGCAGCTTCTGAACAGAAAGCTCATGCCTCTGCCAGAGAACATTCCACGGGGAGTTCTGGTGGGCAGCAAGGGACTCCTGCTCTCGCCTCAGGCCACCCAGGAGCCACTCTCCCGCCTCCCTCCCCCAGCCAGAGGCTCTCCCCTCTTGGTCTGCCTCTTTTAAACCTAGCCTAGAGCCTGAGGAGCTGGCAGGCCAGGTGGGCACTTGTGCTTTCCTTGGCTACTCCTCGGGGGCACAGGACTGGAGCCCATAATGCCCTTTGTTTTTCTTCCTTGTTCCTGGCATCCTCATTTGCAGGGACTTACCTCATCCTGGAAAGTCCCTTCGCCTCCCCTGGCCTCCTCCTCAGCAGCACCCCAGTGGGATCAGCCTTCCTGGCCTTGGTGCCCGATAGGTTAGTAGAACATTAGCAAGCTGGCCCCGGCCTCCGCAGAGTTCTTCTGGGCCCTCCCTGCCTGTGGCCGAGACAGGCCCTCCCCTGGCCCTTTCTGCCGGGAAGTGTGTTTGGGGGAGAACTCCTTCACTTCCCAGGGTCCAAGCTTTCAAGCCCAAGAGAGGCCAGGCAGGAGCTAGCTCTCAGCCAGGAGCTCCCAGCTGCCAGGCTCCTGGGCTACATAGGACAGGCGGCGCCAACATCACGGGTGCAGGAAGAGTGCACAGGGCGGGCCTGTCCTGTCCGGGCTCCAGGTGGACAGGAACTTCTGAGCCTGAGGTCACCCCTAATAGGACAGTGTCTTCTCTCTCCTCTGGGATACAGCTTGATAAATTAACTCATTTATACATTCAGAGTCACCAAGCACCCAGTCTGTGCCAGCCAATCAGCCCCACAAGCCACTGGCCCCTAAGGCCCAGCTCCCATTCAGACAGACAGAGCCAGCTGCCCAGAAGCGCTTCCGGAGAGGCCATGTAGCACTGGGTGGCGCTGTGCCAGCTGCTGCTCCGAGCTTGGATGTTGAGGGGGTGGGAGGGGGGCAGTCCAGGCAGGAGGGACAGGAGCCAGGGAAGCTTAGGAAAGTAGGTCACTAAAAATGACTTTTTTTTCTTTCTTTCCTGTCCGGAGGCTGTCCCCATCCCTTGTCCCACTCTCCATTTAGTCCTGGCTTGGACAGTCCCCCATCAGAGGGAGGTACAGGGAGCAAGCCAGGAAATATCAGGCCTGTTCGCTTCCAGCCCCAGCTGGAAGGCTGAGGGCCTGCTCTTCCTCCTGTCCAGCCTGGCCTGACCGTGCACCTAGCCCAGGACAGTGAGCGTCATGAACGGCGGACCCTATTCCCCAGTCAGTGCACGTCTGTTGAGCACTAGCTGTGTGCCAGATCACATTCAGGGGCCTAGAATATAGAGGGAATAAGATGTATCCGTCTCTTTCCTCTACCCCCACCAGAAGCTCTAGAAACAAAACTGTAAGCAAATCAGTGATTCCCGGGTGGGACAGGAAGGCCTTGGACTCCCCTTGGCCACCACTGGGACCACTCCCAGGCTGGTAACCTTGGGAAGCAGATGAGGATGAGCAAGGGGCGCAGGGTGGAGGGTTTGCTCTTCTTGAGGATGACCAGACCCAAGAAACCACCTCCGGCCATTCTGCGCCTCTGCTCCCTCTGAGGCCAAGTCAGGGCCTCCTTCCCTGGGTCCCTTTGGCAAAAGCTACAGAGGGCAGCTTTCAGTGTCCTGCACCAGCCTTGAAACGGGAAGCCACGGCAGGGACAGGTTTGCAGTTTTAGACCTCAAGCCATTTCCCTGTAGCATCTGTACCCTCCCCCTGCCCCCCATTCTCCAGCCCCAGGGCCTCAGGGAATAGATTCCTTACATGCTTGTGGCCAGAGGCAGAACCAAGGAAGTGATCTGGAGGGAGGTCAGCACAGTCAAGAAAGAGTTAGAAAACATGCCTCCTCCAACCTGGGGTTAATTATTGGCCCAGCCAGGGTAGAGGAGGAAGGGGTCACGAACTCCAGCAGCTTGACTTCAGCCACCCACCTGGGTCTAGCATTTGAGATTGAAACCAGGCAACCAGTGGCCTGTCTTGTCCCAGCACCAGGGACAGGCCTGGGTGAGAGTCCCAGCCACTCTAGGCAACCTGGGGGGGAGGCCGTGGATTCTGCTAATGTGTGCACTCTGGCTCTGTGCTTGCTCCCTCCACAGTTCAAACTCCCCAAAGAGTACAGCTGGCCTGAAAAGAAGCTGAAAGTCTCCATCCTGCCTGATGTGGTGTTCGATAGCCCCCTGCACTAGCCTGGGCTGGGCCTGCAGGGGCCAGAGGAGAGCCCAGCTGCTCCCGGTGACTCCGGTGTAACAACAGTGTGAGGGAGAGTCCCACCAGTAAAAGGACAAGTGTGAGGATGACCGAGCACGTGCAGCCCGGCGGGATGCTGGGCCTGGGCCGCTGACCTCGCCTCGCCTGCAGTGCCAAGCCCACACGACCAGGCCCTGATCCCACTGGGCACTGAGTGGGCAAATGCAAACCTTCCTTTCCTGCTGCCGCCTCGAGTTCTGGTTTGAGAAGTGACTCTGGACCTTTAATGTGCTCCTCGGTCTCAGGCCTCCTCTCACCTACCCGCTGCCGAGCACCCAGCAGGAAGGAGGTGGAGTGGCCCTCGGGGTTCACTGCCCAGCTCAATCTGGGAGCCTTTGGTAGTCAAGCTCCTCCTGCCACCGAACAATTCTTCTGATTGTGTTTGGTTTTCTTCCTCTATTTTATTTTGTAGAAACCGATGGTATTTTATTGCTCTTCAGAGATGTCCAGAAGCTGTGTATATAATGTTTTTTAAACAGAACTTTAATGCCAGATGAACTTTTGCATTCTCTCAGACAAGGGCTTGGGGCTAACTCCCTCTGAGCCGCCACCAGAGAAGGTATGGTGTACACCTGCCTGCCCAGGGCCCAGAGCAGCCAGCTTCAGAGAGGCTTTTCTTCCCAGTGGGCCTGGTGGAGCCAGGTGGAGCCTGTGGCAGGGGAGAGCTAAGATTCCCCCATGAAGCCTTGAGTCCAGTTAAGCTGGGCCAAGAAGGGGTACTGCTGCTTCCCAGTGGACTGGACCCCACAAAGTTAAAGGACCGTCAGGGTCTCAGAGACTTGGTAGCCTCAGCCTTGTCTCCCAGGCTTCCCAGGGTGAGGCCCAGCACCTCACAGATCATCCCCACCTGCCACTCAGGGCCTGGGTCTCCAGCTCTTTGACCACTCCTGTCCCATTTCCTCATCCCCTGGGCCTCCCAGCCTCCAGGCTGCAGGACTCTGGCTAATTAAAAATGGAAAAAGTAACCCTCTCAACGGCTTTCGCTTTGATTTTGCAAACACTGCATTCTACCTCTCTTCTATCCTCCCTGCATCCATTCATTTCTCATCTTTCATTCCCCATTCCTGTCCTGCTTCTGGGCCTCTCTGGGTCCTTAATCCCTTGCCCCAATACTGAAGTTCTCATGGTCTTCCTCCCAGAAGCCAGCCTATTTCTGGCCTGTGGTTTTGGGGTCCCTCTTGGATGATCTTCCACTTCTGTCCTGAAATCAATAAGCCCCATTCATGCCCTTTTACCCCCAACTCTAGGGACTACTATTTCAAGATCACCCTTCAGGCCTGTCCAAAGCAAAGCCATTTTGTCTGTCAGGGATCACATAGGACTATGCTCTGCCCGGCCTACACCACCATACACACCAGGAGGCCACAGGAGGCCCACGGGTACAGGATCCCTCTGATGAGAGATCCCGACAAAGCTGCCTCCAGGAGCCACGAAGGCAGTGACCGTCTCTCCAGGGAGTAGCAGTTGGACTTCCAAGGAGCCTGGCCCCTTCTCTGCACACACCTTTAGGGCTACCTGGTTAATTCCATCAAATTCAGAGCTTCAAGGCAGATCAGCCTGGAGTATGGGAGAGATGGACTCCAGGCTCCCAGCAGCCAAGGTGCAACCCTCTGGACCTGACGTTGGGAGCAGCTGTGCCTTCTCAGAACTTTTCAAAAGGACGTTTCCTGGCCTCCATCTGCCACAGCATCCCTGCCTTCGAAGCTCTTGTCTTCCGATGTCTCGTGGCCAAAGAGGTGCCATCACCTTTCCTCCTTTCCTTGCCACCGGACCTGCTCTCCACCAGTTCTCTTTATGGAGTCCTGCCTCCACCTGCCTGGTTTGGCGATGGGGAGGGGACTATTTTATAAGCTTTGTCATCAGTATGGGAGGCAGTAGGCGAGCTCCGAGACGATGAGCCCATGACGCCTATGGCCCCTGCCTGCCCATGTTGGGAACCTCCAAGGTCATGCTGGGGCCAGGCCTCCATTTCCTTTTCCTACAGGGCAGTGGCAGGGCACCCGCTGTCTCTGACCACACCTCCTTCCCCTTGTGTGGCAGTGCCTTCCCAGGGGTTCTCTATTGAGCTGGCTGGTGAGACAGGCAAGGCTGACCACGTACTGTGCTTAGCACAGCACCTGAACCGTGGTGGTTGCTCACTAAATGTGTCCCTTCATTCCCTCCCTGCAGCCCCTTCAGAGCCCTGACCTCATAGTGAGGGGGAGGTAAGAAGCATCCCTCCATCTGCCTCTTCCACAAGCTTCCCTGAGGTTTGCCTGGTCCCAACCCTCCCAGTCCCTGGTGCTAGGAAGGGGCACCCCCGTGCTGTTTGCCTGCCACACAAGGCAGACTTCTGTGGCTCCTCAGGTCCAGTATGGGCTGCAAGAGTACCACAGACCCAGCTGCCACTCGGAGCGGTGGAGAGGCTCATGCAAGGTCTCAGATGTGGCCAGGGAGCTGCCACTTTCCTGTCCTTCTCTTCCTGTTCCATAGGCCAGGCTGGGACTGGGAAGCCTTGGGGAGTCTAAAAGGGCTAGAACGTTTTAAAAATAAACACAGGGTCTTGGGACTGGGTTTTGACATTGAGTTGAGGAGCAGGGAAAAAATCTAAAAGTTGGTGCCCCTATGGGGCAGACCAGTAAAGAAATCCCTTGACTATTTTTTTATTCAGTTGTGTTTCCTCTCTGGCTTCCGGGACCTCCGTGCCAGGTGAGGGCCCTGGGTCCTTGTAATAAGTGAGGAGCCCTGTAGAGAGAGCCCTCCTTTTGTACAAGGACCTGAATGCTGCGACGAGCAGGCTTTTGTAAACATTTTCATTAGTTTCTAATGTCATTGGCGACTCAGTTCCTACGGGCTGCAGCCGGCCAGGAACTTTTGTAAGAACGTTGGCTGCCTCACTTAGATGTCATTTCTTTCTTGCCCCTCTTCCTCTGTGTAATCTAAGTGCATTAAACATATTTACAGAAGTGCTGGGTCTTGTGCTCCTTTCTGGCTGCCTGCAATAGGGGAGCGGGGAGCCCAGGGCCCTGGCAGAGGGCGTGGATTGGACTTGGCCTTTTAGAAGCTGGGATCACTTGCGCACCTTTCCCGCGCCCCACCCTCCCCACCCCCCTTCTTCCCTCTTAGGCACAAATCGCCTAAATTCTAAGGGACCCCACAAGACTTGCAGCCAGGGGTGCAGTGGGCAGTGGCAGCTGGTCCTGGGCTGACCCCTGAACTTGCCTCCCAGGCCGCCTTTTCTCTGACTTCTCAGTGAGCCAAAGCAGCCCCGCCTAGGTCTGTCCTGTTGCTTCTTCTGTCTTAAGTCCTTCCTGTTTCACTGTCCCCAGCTTTAATAAACGTACTCTCAACATTAAAAAGAAAAGAAGAAGCTGGGTGGGTAAAGGTCCTGAAAACTGCTGCTAAGAGAGTGTGCGTGGGGGCAGGGGTGGCAAGGAACAGGATCATGCAGCTGGTGACTCTTCAGTCACGCAGAAATGACTCTGCAGGGACAGTCTCTCTTTTACTGGTTTTGAATGCCTCTCAGGTCAAGAGGGTAGGGGCATGAAACAGTCTGGTGAGATGAATGGGTGGGTAAAGGCTCTTCATTCCTCTTCTATCTTCCTCTCACCAAAACTCTTCCACCTCAGTTTTCCTCACCTCCAGTTTGGAGTCCTCGCTCCCACCTCCAGCTGGGCCAAGAGACAGCCACTCCCCTCACTACACTGCGAAATCCCACCTCCTAATGCAGAGCCTGGGGCAGGATGGAGCAGCCTCAGAACCAGCACACCCACCGGGTGACACAGAGGCCCGCCCACCCTTCCTAGCAACCTCTCTCTCGGGGCCTGGTCAGGGTGAGGAGGTGGGTGGCTCTTCCTCCCCTGGATTGCCCAGCTCCTGTCTCCAGGGCATGGTGTGGAAAACAGTTCAGTGCCCAGGGGAGAGACAGCAAGGGCCCGGGAACTTACAGACAGGCAGGCGGTCTGCTCCGAGACAGGGTTCCTGGGCCCTGCAGGACTGCTCTGTGTCCTCACGCCGTCTTTCCCTTCCTGCGAGGCCTAATTGTGCTTGGGGGTAGCAGGGTTTTTTCTGTTGGTGCCTGGGATGAGATGCAGCTATAGCACCCAGGGGGTTCTACTGGGGCCGGTGGCATAGGTCCTGGGGGCATCACAAGAGGGCAGGGGAAGGGTGTCAGCTCCTGTGAAGGAGGTTCTGTGAGAACTAGCCGTATGGGGACCTTACCCAGGAGGAGGACAGCTCTCCTCCTTCGGCCTGTGACCTCCTACTGAACTGAGGCTCGTCCCTGGAGCAGTTCCTGTCTGGGGCACTCGGTCCCTCTGGCAGTCAGAGCAAGGGACCTGGGAGGGTCTGGAGCCAGGCTGACAACCCCAGAGGGCCCAGGCCATACCTTTTCCCCTTTCTCCTTGGAGACCAGGGGTGGGGGTTCTTGTCTAATCCTCCTCCTCTGACTAGCCAAGAGGATCCAGGGTCAGTGAGGTTCTTGCTCCAAAGAGTCCAGAATAGCAAGATCCTGTGCTTAGGTGATTTCCAGAGACAGGACTAGGCTGGGGTTGTCTCTGGAAAGAGAAGGGCTCCTGGGGGTGAGGGGATAAGAAACCCTGGCTGGGGGGCGAGGGTGCCCACAGGCTCCAGGGCCAAGGGCTGGGGAGCCTGAGAGATTTGCCAAACTGGCCAAATGAGGAGAATTCATGCTGAAGTGACTCAACCCAGCCTGACAGGCACTGAGGCAGCTGCAGGCTGCAGAGGGGAAGCAGGTGGGGAGGCAGGGTCGGGTGAGGGGAGTGATTTGCTGGGCAGGAGTTGTGTCCCAAGGCTGCAGGGGTAGGTCAGGATGTGGTCTGGGAGGGACGGTCAACTCCAGGCCCCTTCTATGGGCAGCATGGGACTGGCCAGTCCCTCCTTCCTTAGTGCCTGAAAGCCTTTGGGAGAGAGCTAAGGGCAGGATGGAGGAAGGAGCCGGATGATGCTGGTGGCTGCCCGTGGTTGTGTGGCATAGCTCTCTGAGTAACGTGAGGGGCAAGGGAGACTTGGAAGTTGTGATGAGAGTAGTGGCCTTATTGGGGCCAGAAAACTGAGGGCAACACCTCTGCTCCTTTGTTCTTCCAATTGCACCCACTGCCAGCCCATCTTCCATCTCGGTACGGAGAGCCCTGAAAGGAAGGAGAATGGGCCCTCTGGGTCACAGCCTTTATAAGACAGACAGGGAAGCCTCTACAATCCCACTGTGGAAAGGGTAAGAACTAGAAAATATGTTCACTCACTTGTTCTTTCACCAAACCGATAACAGGCACTCTCCCACATGCTGGGAGGCTGACACAGGCCTGCCTGGCCTTCAGGAGTTTATAATTCAGTGAGGGAAAACAGGCAAGAAACGATGGCAAGGAAGAGCCATACAAGAGGAAGGAGTAAGCTGCTTTTGGTCCTACCCCAGCCTCACCAATTATTGTCAGTGTGACTAAGGCTAACTAACTTGTGCCTTAGTCTTTTCATCTGGAAATGGATACTTGCTTCATAGCGTTTGTGCAAGTATTATATGAGATAATGCATACAAGATGCCCGGCATATAGTAAGTGCTCAATTAGTGTTAACCCTTTATTAAAGGGCTATGCTAGGGTATACACACCTAAGGTGCCCAACTCCATCTAGGGAGATTTTAAAAAGGCTTCCTGGCCCTAGCTGGTTTGGCTTAGTGGGTAGAGTGTCGGCCTGCAGACCAAAGGGTCCCAGGTTCGATTCCAGTCAAGGGCACATGCCCAGGGTTGTGGGCTCAATCCCCAGTAGGGGGCATGCAGGAGGCAGCCAGTCAGTGATTCTCATCATTGATGTTTCTATCTTCCTCTCTGAAATCAATAAAAATATTATTTTAAAAAAGAAGGACAGACATCCATAAAATGCCCATCCAAATACTTCATTATTTGGTAAAGTCTTCCTGAACCCAGCTGGTGTGGCTTAGTATGAACCGGGAGGTCACGGTTCAGGGCACATCCCCAGTGTGTGGTATGCAGCAGGCAGGCAATCGATGATTCTCATCATCGATATTTCTCTCCCTCTCCTTTCCTTTCTGAAATCAATTAAAATATATTTTAAAATAAACAATGAAAGGCTTCCTGAAATAAATGACATTTAAGTCAAAACCTGAAGGACGCGTAAGGATGAACTGAGCAAAAGAAGCGGGGCTTTACTTTCAAACGCTCTCCTGGCAGGCAGAACAACAAGGGCAAAGCCCCAAAACTCTTCTTGGGAACTGTAGAGTCCCAATGGCCTAGGTTTCAGGCATCAAGCTTTCATTTTGAACCACCTCCTCTCTTCCCCACCCCCAACCCCACCCCCGCCAGATTGTATAGGACTTGCAGGTAATTATAAAAGTTTGATTTTTATTCTGGTTGAAGTGCGAAGCCATTGGAAGATTTTGAGCATAAAATTGACATAATCTGACATATTTTTAAACAATTACTCTGGCTTCTCTGTTGAGATTGATGCCAGGAAGTAAGGGCAAAAACAGAGAAACTAGTTAGGACCTACTGAAATAATCCAGGCCACAGATTACAATAAAGTAATAGAGATATTAAGAAGTAGTCAAGATTTGCTGAAAGGTTGGCTATCAGATGTTTGCTGAGAAGCAAAAGACTGCAGCGGGAAGAGGTTTAGGGGGAGCAGAAATTAGTATAGTTTTTGGACATGTTGAGTTTGGGATGTTTGTTGTACCTCCAAGCAAAGATGTTAAGTGAGTAACCAGTGTACAAGTAAATTATCAGAGAGATATTTAACAGTAGGATCTATAGGACCTGAAGACTGACTGAATGGATAAGAGAGATGAGAGGGGGATGTCAAGGTTGTCCCCCTAATCCTTAGTTTGGTAACTCAGTGGCTGAAATGGGGATCACAGTGGAAGGGGAACAGGCTGGAATGTGAAAAGGATGAGGTTTCATTTCCAATACATTGAATTCAAGGTGCCTATGGGACATCTGAATGGAGGGCATAGTTGACTACATGGATCTGCAGCTAGGAGGCTGATGATCTGGGCTGGAGATACTGCCTGGGGAGTCATCCGTATATAAATAGTAATAAAGCCAAGGAATAAATGAGATGCCCCAGGAAGCAGGTATAGATTAGTAAGAGAAGAAAATGGAGGGCAGGGTTCTGAAGACCAACAGCTTTTATGAGATGGAAATTAGAGAAGACTGTGGTTAAAAAAATAAAACCAGAAGAGTATCATGTCTTACAAGTCATCAAAGGTGACTTGTCTAGAAAGGTGAGAAATGAGAGGAATTCTTTAGATTTATTATCTAAATAAACAATAATGGAGGTCATCATTGAGGAGGCCACAAAAGGACCCTCTGCTCCAAGCTAGACCTTGTGTTACTGTTTTAAATTATTTTTATTTGTTGATTTGAGAGAGAAACATTGATTTTGGTGTTCCACCTATCCATTCACCCACTGGTTGATTCCTGCACAAGCTGGGGATCCAGCCTACAGCCCTGGCGCGTCAGGACGATAGCTAGGCCTTGTTATTCTGTGCGCCATCTTTGGAATGTGGAATTAGGGACTAGGGCTTGCAAACCATTTTCTCCCTTTTTGTTCATTGAGACATGCATGCATGCATTCATTTTTCGTCTGTTCAGATGGTGAGGGGATGCCAAGTGCTAAAGACACAGACTCTCTCATTGAAGGGCCCACATTAGCCCTCACATCAGGAATAAAGAGAGAGAGATTCTGGAATCAGATAGGCCCTCTGGCTTTATGGAAGAATCAGCACCCACGGGTCATACTGAACTGGATTTGAACTTGTTCTACCATTTAGATTAGAATGTAACAGCTGATGACTCTGAAATCCATAATAATCTCTAGCACAAACCTCGCCCCTGAGTCTGTATGTACCATCGCTTCCTCAACATTTCTACTGGGAGACCTGAGTCAACTTAGACAATTACTAAAAGGCTCCCCACCCAAACCTACCTACCCCTCTTCCATTCTCTTCTCAGTAAATGGCACCACCATTCAGCCTCTTGTGGAGGCCCAAATCCTAGGAATCCAAGGAATAATATTTTAAACATTTTGTGGGTAATATACACACATATAAACATATATATCACATAAAAATACATATGCACAGCGATAAGCACATCTTGATCCCATTCCTACTCCATTCGTATTATATGTTGATTCCTCTCCATCCCATATCTAACCCTTAGCTAGTCCTATTAGCTCTACTTCCAAAATATTGCCCAAATCTGAGAGCTTCTCACAACCAGCTTCAAGTTCAAACTGCTTACCATGGCCTACAGGAAGGCCCTGTGTGTTCTAGCCCCTACCTGTCTTCTCCCTCACCACACAGCTTTCATTCTGCCCGAGAACATGCCTAATCGATTGCTTTTGCATTTGTTTTTCCTCTGACTAAAGCACTCTTCCCCCAGGTTCTCACTTGCTTGACTCCTAAACATGCATTTTTCAGGTCAAATGCCACTTTTTTGGAGAGCCGTGTGTGAGCCCCTCACTATCACAGAAATTATCCTACATATTTAATAAAAAAAAATTTCTTTGTACATGTTCTCTGAGGAATCCCCAGGTCCTAGAAAAATGCCTGGCACATAAAGGCTTCTGTTAAATATTTGTTGACTGATCAACCCATGGTAGATTACTTCAGTTCTTTAAGACTCCGTTTCTTTTTTTAAATATATTTTTAGTGATTTTTTTACAGAGAGAAAGGAAGAGGGATAGAGAGTTAGAGACATCCATGAGAGAGAAACCAGGAGGTTTCTCCCACTGGGGATGTGCCGGCAACCAAGGTACATGCACTCGAACCTGGGACCTTTCAGTCCGCAGGCCGAGGCTCTATCCACTGAGCCAAACCGGTTAGGGCAAGCCTCCGTTTCTTTATTCATATAAATTATTAATATTAATATTCAATCTTGCTTAGTAGTTTTAAGTGTCAGAAATGGGGGTTAAAGTGATGAGGACGTAGGAAAATTGTTCCACAGTGAACCTTTGCAATTACCTGCTCATTGCATCAGAGAGCTGAGCTAGCAACCCTCCTTTCCCTCTCAGGCAGAAAGAGCGACGGGGGCAGAAGCCCTCCAAGAGGTGGTCACCATCGCCCTTTTAAGAAGCGCGGAAGGCTCCTCCCATCCAATGTTTAATGAACCCAAGTTAGTACAAGTCACGTGAGGAGCTCTGGTTTGCCCCTCCCTAAAGGGGCGGGGCCCCTGCTTGGGGCCCTATAGCAGGAGCGTCCTCCGAAACAGCCTCCAACTCCAGACAGGGAAAAGGGGCGGGGCCGGCGCCTCCGCAGCTGTACCAGCACTTCCGGGCAAAACGCCC